TTCTCCATGGATACATGAGGTATCAAAATAACTTCTAACATATAAATTTTGATTGCAATGTTTGCTGTTTTTATTTCTAAATTTAAAATGTTTCCTAAACTTTATTTTAGTCTCAAAAAAATCTCAAAAAACCGCACATTGTGCTTAATAATCTTTAGAATTATCTCTAAATAGCACATTTCTCGTGGGCTCGTCCTTACTCAATAAACCGGTAATGGTACTTTGCGGTTCAACATAAGTTTATTATTTTTCAACATTGACCTCAGATGGACAAGATAAGGTCTACGAACCTCAAAAGATCTTCAAAATCTTAAAAGAACAAAACAAAACTGCCATTTAAAACCTTAAAAGAAAGAACCTTAAAGTGTGGCGATATCAAGCAGGCTGGTTTGATTAGTAAAAAACAATGGGACATGTCATGGATATTTTTGATATCGAAATATTTTTACAGTTAATAAATTTATATTTTTTTATTATGTTGGGAGTTTCTAATTAATATATATCATAATCATTACGACTCCCACATTGGTGACCCCGACTCATGGATATTTTTGATATCGAAATATTTTTATAATCAATAAATTTGATATATTTTTATGTTGGGAGTTTCTAATTTAATATATTATCATAATCATTACAACTCCCACAAAAGAACAAAACAAAAATGCCATTTAACAGAATATGTAACTAGTAACAGAGTTTTATATAAATTTTTGTTAGTGAGTATATAAAAAGATGTATACAGAATTTGCACAATTCAAAGTCGTTTTGCATAATTTTTTATATGGGTTCCTAAAAATTGTTTATACATATTTTAATAAATTTTATCTAGTTTCTGCTAAACTAATTTGTAAAGAGTTCCCGGAACAAAGTTTTCAAGTTATTTCCAAAATGTAGCAAAATGCCGCCTGATTCCCAAGCATCTAAACAAGCACATCTGTAATACAAAATTCCTCTACATTTCTTTTAACGACTTGAAAATTTTGTTCTGGGCACTTTTACAAATTGGTTTAGCAAAAACTAGATAAAATTTACTACAATTCTGTATAAATATTTTATATGCTCGTATACTAAATTTTGAAAAAATTTAGTGTAAGTCGCCTTTATATGTCGTGTAGATTTACAATGCATATTGGGATTGGGTACATTTTTCTACATTTTGGTAAATTACTCAAAAACTTTATTCCGGGCACTCTTTTAAAGTCATCTTAGCAGAAACTAGAAAAAATTCCCCACGACTTTGTATATTTACGAAAATGAATCAAGTGACTTTTTTCACAAAACTCTAAAATTTTCTTCCGGCTATTTTTTTCTTAAGTCATCTTAGCACAAACTAGATAAAATTTACTACAATTCTTTATAAACAGTTATACACTTTAGTACAAAAATTTTGAATAATTCAAACACTTCGCCTATTCCTAATATTATATTTTCTCGACATTTCTGAATCAAATGAGGCCGAATTTGGAAAAAGTATGCGTATGTGTTTGGACAGACGTTTTACCTTAAATCAACATTTTAAACTTGCGCTGTATAAAAATTCGATTTCAAAGTGTAACTTTTATATAGAACATTAACAAACTGTTTATATTTTTTTTTTAACAAATTTTATCTGATTTCTGCTAAAAGTAATTGGTTATGAGTGACCACAACAAACAATTTTGTACATTTTATCAAATAACTCAAAAACTTTATTCCGGGCACTCTTTTTTAGTTAGCTTAGAAAAAACTAGATAAAATCTACCAAAAATCCTTGTAAACAATTTTATACACTTTGATACAAAAATTTGAATAATTCAAACACGCCCTAATGCACTTTGCATATTTACAGCATATGAATCAGGGAACTTTTTTTACAGTTTCTTAAATAACTCAAAAATTTTCTTCCGGGCCCTCTTTTAAGTCATCTTAGCAGAAAGTAGATAAAATTGACTAAAAATCCGTATAAACAGTCCTATATACTTTGATACATAATTTTGAATAGTTTGAACACACCCTAACGTATTTTGCATATTTTTTATATGTCGACCCAGAAAATTTTCTTACAGTTTGTTAAATAACTCAAAAATTTTGTTCAGGACACTCTTTTTAGTTAGCTTTGCAGAAACTAGATAAAATTTACAACAATTATTCATAAACAGTCTTATACACTTTAGTACAAAAATTTTGAATAGTTTGAATACGCCCTAAAGCACTTTCCATATTTTTTACATATGGACCCGGAAAACAATTTTTTTTTTGTTAAAAACTCAAAATTTTCTTCCGGCTACTCTTTTGAAATCATTTCAGCAGAAACTAGATAAAATTTACTAAAAATCCGTATAAACAGTCCTACACACTTTGATACAAAATTTTGAATACTTTGTACACGCCCTAATGTATTTGCATATTTATAATGTATGAACCCAGAAACTTTTTTTTACAGTTTGTTAAATAACTACAAAATTTTCTTCCGGCTACTTTTTTTAAGTCACTTTAGCAGAAGCTAGATAAAATATACTAAAATCCTCAAAAACAGTCTTACACACTTTGGTACAAAATTTTTGAATAGTTTGAACTCGCCCTAACGTATTTGCATATTTACAATATATGTATCAGGGGACTTTTTTACGGTTTGTGGAATAACTCAAAATTTTTACTCCGGCTACTATTTTTAAATAATATTACCAAAAACTAGATAAAATTTCCCACCGATCCTCATAAACAATCCTATACACTCCAATACAATTTTTTTTTTAAATCTTACTCCTTACCTTCACAATGGCTCTTAAGACCAGTCTCTGCTGTATCCCTCATTGCAAACACACTGGTAAGTTCCCATCATATTTTCGCAGGCCCCATTCGAGCAAATACCACTATCCTTTGAGCATTCATCGATATCCTTACAAGATTTTTTATCAGGACTCAGTTCATGTCCTGGAGGACAATCGCATTTGAAAGAACCGATTGTGTTATTGCAACGACCACCTCGACATAAACCAGGATCTTGTCTGCATTCATCGATATCTAGGAAAAAATAGTAAGAATATTTAGACATATATATATATATATATATATATATATATATATATTCTGCGGTAACATAGACGATAACATAGCAAAAGAAGAATCTTATGACAACTGCATCAAAGATTCTGTTATCATAACATTTTTCCTTGCTTGTTTATATGTAAAATACGCCTGATCGCATGGCAACTTGATAGACATTTTCATAATCTTCAATACCAAGAACAAGCATAACTAGTAGTGTATGGCATCGTGCCTTAAGGCAAATTGCTGGAACTCCCGTACCGTAATGAAATATTCGAGAAATTTTAAACGTTTTCAAATATATTATTACACAATACTGTAACTTTCATTATTTTTGCTCTTGTTGTTATATCTGAGCAAATCAAATGTAAATCATAAATCAATTTATCTCCAGAACATTAACAATCGTCATTTCATTTCGAATTCAATTTCAAAAAAATAGTTGCCTAATTTTACACAAAATCGCAAAAGTGCTCCCGTATAGTCACAGTCTAAAAGCATTTGCAAATAATTCTGTGTGACATTTTCATTTATACTGTGCTTAACTTGGCGGCATTTTCACATTTTTCAATAGTTTTTCACAAAATTGGAAAAATGCTCCAGTCTAAACGCACTTGGTAAGCATTTATACCAGAGTGGCGCTTAGACTGTGCTTAGCCTGGGTAATTTTTTGAATTTTTAATCCAAAATTACGAAAATAATTTATGAAAAATAAAAAAGATGTAATAATTTTTTATCCTCAAAAGCGAATGTTTTGTCAATACAAGCAGAAAGTTTTTTGGATCATTCAAATCGGACGTTTAGTTCACTCAAAACTGCTATTTTTTGCACATTTAGCTGTGTATCTTCGAAATGGCGGGACCTG